TCCAAACAAAAACTTTTGTAGTTGTTCTATCGTCGAAGCGAATGGTACACGGAGAAGAATGGCTGCTTAATATGTTTATTCAGCACCAGTATCCGGTGCTAAAGGATACATACAAAAAACAGAACAATAAGTTACAAAACAATTAACAAGACAACTTACAAGGAATAGAGGAGGGTCAAATGCTGTATAGCCAAACGAAGTAGGATCAGTCCGAATATTAATCAGCTTAGTATCACGCAAATACGTTTAAAATACTACCAAACAACCAAAGAACTCTTCCTTGACATTAATCCATATAATGTCCTACAATTCCTAAAATCAAACTATATTCCAAAATATAACAAAACTACAACGTTAAACACATATATCACCGTCTCTAGTAATCATGTCCGCACAAACATTTACATGCAAATATTCTGAGTATTATCTACCACAGGGGTCGGCAACCTTTTGGTGTGAGAAGGCCAGAAAGCTATGCAGTGTCTTGGAGGAGGGCCTTGATAACAAATTTACTATAATAAATTGTCTAGACCCCTGATCGCTAGGTCTAGAAGCCTGGCTTGGTCTGGAGTTTTAAAGAAAAAACAACGAAGTTAATGTTATATTATTGTTATGAAACCTTATCCATAATAACATAATGGACTATTCCAATTTTTGCTTTTGGATCGTAGTGGGCTCTCCTGATACATGTGACGTAAGACTTTTTTATCTTGTCAAACGCTTCTTGACATTTATTATCTCAATTCCGCTTTACTCCTTTTTTTCAGTAGATTGTTAAGTAAAGCTGTATATGCATATTACGTCTATAAATGCAATAATAATTAACCAATTTTAAAAAAAGCTTGTAACGTAATTACGTTTGTTGGTGTATGCAGATTTCTCTTTGCATTTACCCTAGACGGATCTGGTTTCCTACCATTTTTATCAATAATTTAAATATTGCATTAACATTTTTCTTAGATTTTCCGATAAACGTCCCACTATTTAACCCACAAGCTGGGGGATTCATACCTTTCGCAAGAGTATTTGCGCGTAAGTGAATGTAACGAACCCAACTGGATTTCGATCTCGGCTCCCTGATTTCTCATTTTAGGCCGTTATTCATAACACCATTCGTAGGTAAGAAGTGAATTTATGTGGTAATGGAGGACGAAGCCTGAAGTGAATTCATAAGTAACAGTTTCTGGATAATATGTCACTTGCAGAATAATTTCCTATTCTCATTCTGTTATTGCATCTTTTGGAAATCATTCCCTCGCAAGAAAGGTGATAAAGCCCCTAAGACACAATGAGTTACGGAAAGTGAAAGAAAATGAGAAAAATTAGAGAGCGAAAAAGGACAATAAAAGACAAAAGATGGCGATTGACGCTGCATCTACATTTTTGAAGATTCTAGGTAACAGGAAACTAGAAGAGAGAAGAAAGATCCGTCAGCAATCGACCAAATCAAAAACAAACAACGCGCATGCGCGAAATTAAAAATATAAAATGGCGACAACTTACCCATCGCATTCTGTATACTCCTAATGCTTGCCCTTAAACTAATACAACTCCACATATTAATCCTCTGCATTGAGTGGCTCTTGGACCTTGTCTTGGGTTAACATTATTGTTGTGACCAAGTAAATGGTTAAAGAAATAACAAAACCAGTGTTGCAGATATATATATATATATTAAACAGTAAATACAACAGAAGAGAATTACACGACTAGTGAGTGTGTGTCAGCCCCGCCTCCCACAAAGGTAGATGTGGCACAAGGCCGATTTTAACGTGAGTCATCCGAGCTCGGCCAAAAAATCCCCGTAGAACCGGCAAAAACGGGTTCAGGTCTGTCTACCTCCCCGAACGAGACTCAGCTTCGGCACAGCCTCGTCCGGGTTCCTATCTGCTCAAAGGCAGAGAGTTAGACAGTAGCTGCGAAAAGTCACAGCCTTGGTAGAATAATCTATTAGACTGTTAATATTTAACATCCCCACCACGAGGGATGGATGTGGCACAAGGCCGAGTTAAACGTGGGTTCTGCGAGCCCGTAGGCCCGGCCAAAAATATTCCCTTAGAACGCGTATAAACGGGTTCAGGGCCTGTCTACCTCCCCGGACGAAACTTTCCCTTTCGGCAAAGCCTTGTCCAGGTTCCTATCTGCCGAGGCAGAGTTTTCGACAGTTACGAACAATCTATTCGACTGTTAACATTTAACAGCACCCTCCCCACACACACACAAAATGTATGTAGCACAAAGCCGAGTTTAACGGGTTCAGGGTTTAGACGGGTTCAGGGACTGTCTACCTCCCCGGACGAAACTTTGCCCTGCGGCATAGCTTCGTCCGAGTTCTTCTCTGCTGAAGCAGAGAGTTCAACAGTTGAAGAATCCATTCGACTGTTATATTTAACAGTCCCCCACCCACAAAGAATGTATGTGACACAAGTCCGAGTTTAATGTGGGTTTCTCCGAGCCCGTAGGCTCGGCCAAATATATTCACTTTGAACCCGCTTAGACGCCTTCAGGGACTGTCTACCTCCCCGGACAAAACTTTGCCCTTCGGCAAAGCTTCGTCCGAGTTCCTCTCTGCCGGGGCGGAGAGTTTGACAGTTTGAACAATCTTTGAGACTGTTCCCTCAAGGCCTTCTCTCCTACTAATCTTATAGTAGGCGGAAGAGTCCAATATAGACTCTTTAGAGGGAGGACACCACAACAATTACTAAAAGCAAAGCAAAAACAAATCCAAAAAAACTTTGATTTTCTTTCGATAGAAAAATGTTTTATTGTGTTTCTAAGGTATCATTCAAACAATTTTTTTGTTTTTTCCCCCTATTTCTATTACAACTTGCACGTGTATACTTATATACTCTCTTCATGGTATTTATTGTTTTATACGAAAGTTGATCCAATGCAAGGTTTGGAAGACACACAATGTATAGGGTTACTGTTAAAATGTTTATGGTGTATGAAGTGTGTGATATGAATGAAAGAAGACGTGCTAAGAAGAGAAGGTTATAGGGTTAACGAGGATAGATAAAGATCTCGCACAGAAATCTGGACAAGTAACCCGCCGTGGATTTCTGAAGGAAAAGAAAATAGTCAGAACAAATAGAAATACATCTGGTGCCGAGCAGATTTTGAGGAAAAGACTGACGTTCACAGTCTTTCTTTTCTTCACAATGTGCTCGGCTTGCAAGATCTGTAAAAGGGCGCGTAAGATCTGAGAGCCGTTTTTCTTTGTGTTTGGATCTCTGTTGTCGTGTTCATCAAGATCGGCTCGGAGAACTGCTAATTAAGACGAAATTGATGTGTCTTCATTACCAGATATTGCCTTGGCGTTATATAATTAAACAGGTGTGTTAATTATAACGAGTATACTGTAAACATGGTCGTCAAGAGAAGAGCCGTATTTTCGACACTGTTTTTTGAAAACATGGATCTCCGTGCCCACAAAAATACAGAGCTTCAAAAGGAACGTTTTCTTTTTGACATTGCTATTATTTTAACTATCTTCACCCCTCGGCAATGTTTGTTGTCACACATTATGAAATGTACAAAGTCCGACAATTATTTAAGGCATTTTTATGTTTATACATTCTTTTTATAGATACAAATATTTAAGTAAATGCTCTGTTTATAATAAACAGTATTAACAACATTTCCCGGCCTGAATGTCCGAGAAATTTTCATAGAAAATTTTCGTCCTCCGACAGGAATCGAACCTGTATCATATACGGAACCGTCATTTAGCTTGACGTGCCTTTACCGAATTGGCCATAGAGGAGCATTCGGTTAGCACGGTCAATTTTACTGTCTTTAAACTACAATCTTCCATGATTCTTTCAAGTACATTCATATCTGCTCAAAGCGTATCCGAATGTAAACAAATGACGTCACACATTATGAAATGGACAAAGTCCGACAATTGTTTTAAGACATTTTTTTTGTTTATATATTCTTTTTATCGATACAAATATCTAAGTAAATGCTCTGTTTATAATAAACAGCATTAAACAACATTTACCGGCCTGAATGTCCGAGAAATTTTCATAGACGGTTCCGTATAGGATACAGGTTCGATTCCTTTCTATGAAAATAAATAGTGTAAATAAACAATCTAATAGACGAACCCTTATCCATTATGCCACCCGTCCAAGCTTACAAGCGGCCGCCCTTCTTGGTACTAACCAGATTCGACGTTGCTTAACTTCAGTGATCGTACGAGAACTGCTGTTTCAATGTAATATGACTTTAGGTATTGGAGGCAAGAGGGACAGATAGCAACAGCGATCAACCTACTTGATTAGTTTGTGAAAATGGATGGCACAATAACAACGTGTTGGACGGACAGTAAAAAGAGTAACATTTCTCAGAGCTACGATGGATATGAAGATGTGGAGAGCCGTTATCGACTACGTTCTGAGGGGACATGGCACATGAAGAAGAATGCCGAATGATGGGTAACATTTTAATTAAGGAAAAAAAAATTAAATTCGGATACCCTTGTAAAGACAACCTTGAGCGCGCACACATTTTAAGGTCGTCATTAGCCTAACTACGCATACCTGATAAACTAAATGAGTATTAGCATACACAGGCTTATCATCGCCAACCCCAAGACAAATGGTTGTATTCGCTTACATAAAGAATCCTGTACACAAGTGTGAATGCCCATTGACACACGAGCATGTAAAAGGCGAGTACACACCAGGGCGTGTTTGGAATCTTGAATGTTCTGTAAACGCACTTCGCCAGACGTCAGAGGGTTTTCAAAACAAGGTGATCGCTGGAACGAGAAATGCAAACGACATTGTTAAGGCAATTTGTCATGAAACGTGATACGAGCCTCTATTCACACCCAACATCAACACACACACACACACACACACACACACACACACACACACACACACACACACACACACACACAGTTTTTTTCTTCATATATTTCCTTGTCTTTTTCTTCTTTTTTACTTTTTTCCTTCCCCCTTTTGCTTCGCCTTTCCAGCTCCTTTTAGACTTCTACTTTTTTTTTCGAACGTTTTCTTTGCATTTTTATCTTTATATTGGTTTCTTTTTGTTATTTTCCGTTCCTTTTAATCATCCTTCTCTTTCTTCATTCTTTTATAGACATTTTTCATTCAAGCGATTTCTTTTTCATCTATATCCTTTTTTAAAATTCTCTCTACTCCTTTATTTCATTCTTTCCTTTCTTTATGCCATAAGACTCTTTTTTTCTTTCTCACCTCTCTAACATATTTCTTTTTTTAGTTTCATTTATCTTTCTTTTTTCATTTTCTTTCTTTCTTTTTTTCATTTTCTTCTTTTTTGTAATTTACTTATTAATAATGTTTCTTGATTCCTTCTTTCTTTCCATTTTTCTATTTAATTTTTTTCATTACTATTTGTAGATTTATTCATGCATCTCTCTCTCTTTTCTTTCTTTTTTCTTTCTTGTTTCTTATTTACCCATATTTTTATATTCACAACTCATACTTTCTTTCTTTTCCTTTTTTCTTTCTTTCTATTTCTTTCTTTTCCTTTTTTCTTTCTTTCTATTTCTTTCTTTTCTTTTTTTCTTTCTTTCTATTTCTTTCTTTTCCTTTTTTCTTTCTTGCTTGTTTCTTATTTACTCATGTTTTTATATTCACGACTGATGTTTTCTTTCTTTTTCTTTCTTCTTTTCCAGACTTTATATTTTCCCTTCTTTCTTTCTTTCTTTCTTTCTTTCTTTCTTTCTTTCTTGTCTCTTATTTACGCACGTTTTTAAATTGATGACTCATGCTTCCTTTCCTTCTTTTTCCTTCTTTTTTATTTTGCATTCTTTTTCTTTTTTCTTTCTTTTTCTTATTTATCCATGTTTTTATATTCACGACTGATGCTTTCTTTATTTCTTCTTTTTCGTTCTTTCTTTCTCCTTTCTTTCTTTCTTTCTTTCTTTCTTTCTTTCTTTCTTTCTTAGTTTGTTGCCTCTATTTTACACAGGGTTTTAAATTCACGACTCATTTCTCTTTCTTTTTCATTCTTTTTACTTTCTTCCTGTTTTTCTTTTTCTTATTTACCCACGTTTTTATATTCGCGACTAATGCTTCTTTCTTTGTTTCTTCCTTTGTTTGTTTGTTTGTTTCTTTCTTTCTTTCTTATGCTTATATGTTCATAATTTTTCTTTCTCTTTCGTTCTTTTCCTATTTTCTTTCGTAATTGCTTTTTTCTTATTACCCATATTTTATTCACGATTTTTTTCCGTTCATAGTCTCTTTTTTATTACTTAATCGTATTTATATCTTCAGCATTTCTTTCTTTCTTTCTTTTTTCTTTCTTTCTGTCTTTCTTTCTTTCTTAGTCCCTCTTTTCTATCATTATACCTCTGACCTACCTGTCTTTCTCGTCGTCCCCTAAAAACTCTGAATTCCAAATACTTCTTCACAAACTGATTTACGAACTCTTATGGTGGGACCAGCCTACTGACATTAGTCTACATGCCATCAACAAAGACCCAGGAAAGGAATTTTTTTGTGTTTCAATTCTATACCCTGACCTGTCGTCAATTAGGGCTTCGTGCTGTTGATAACACAACCAAGCCCCGTTGCTACTGAAAATAGCTGGGTTGCGCCCATGAGTTATGGATAGGCGCCGACCAGGGGTCACACGAAGAGTTTTACGAAAGGATTTGTGTAACGGCTTTTTGTATACGTGCCTCTGGATAGTCAGATGGTGAATACGAGGGTAGGTTCCTAAAAGGCTCGGTTAAGAGAGGGTAGGCGAAAGACACGACACATAGTAAAAAGAGCAGTTGTCTAGTCTAATGATGCAAATTCTGGTTTCGCAAGTTGTAGCCACATCTCCCGGTAATCATCAACAAACACAGCCTCTTGCCAGACTTGAACTAATTTAAACTGTCTACATCTTATATATAAAGTACAGTGTATGTATGCGTGTCCAAGCAACTCCCCCGCTTCTACTGGTCCGATTTCAATTATTGATAGCTCATTCAAAAGCCCTAGAAAAATTAGGCACAGGGAACAATTTTGCCTCAGCTCAGATTCAGGGTTGCTAGATTATGCGAGGTTAAAAATATATATTAATATATTATACTAGCCATTATAGTTGCTTTCAGGGATCAAGGGGAGTAACTCTTGTTTTCTTTTTTGTACCAAAGATTGCAGCTAGTTTAATGTGAGGAGCCCGAACGCGTACCCCTGGGCTAGGAACAAAAATTGCCCACAGCCTACGCTACCGTCGGTTGCGCTGGCCACGCTGCGAGCTCCGATCCCTCTCACTTATTCCATGAGAGGGCGCGGCTTCGGGCAGCTGCTCCGCAGGACTGGGAAGCTCTCAGTATAATCTTCACTCAGTTGCAACTCTGTCCTTTGCCAGAGCAGGCTCTGCCTAAAGACAGAAAACTGAGAGACGATAAATAAGCAGAAATATTCAGCTACCGACCTCCGAGGGTTGCATATGGCACAGGGCAGGATTTAACGTGGGTTCTCAGTTGGAGCCTGATAAATAAGCAGAGTAAAAGCTCAGTATCTGTATTATATATTATCTACGTCAAAACACTATGACTCTTCAGGTTTAACTAATCTGCATATTATATTTAATATGATTTTAAAAAGGTTTATTTCATTAATTAACTGTCCTTCAATATTGTTCTTTTGCTCGAGCGTTGTTTTGACTTTCATATAAAAAAATATTTCTGTTTAGGAATATCATCTTATATATAGCAGGGAATTATTTGAAATTAGCATTTTACTTGGCTTTAACAAGTTGGCATCTATTTGTAAAACTTTCCTTAACTATAACAAGCCAATTTCTGAATGAAATATTCATTTAAAATTTTTGTCTTAAAGATTTCATGTAGTGATTACATCTTACTTTGTGAAGAAATAGTAAACGGGCGATGTCTGCTAGTATATATATATATATATATATATATATATATATATATATATATACATCCACACACATATATATATATATATATATATATATATATATATACATACATATATATATATATATATATATATATATATATATATATAACGTCACACATTATGAAATGGACAAAGTCCGACGTCCAAACAATTATTTTAAAAGACATTTTTTATGTTTATACATTCTTTTTATAGATACAAATATTTAAGTAAATGCTCAGTTTATAATAATGTTTTTCGGATATTTAGGCCGGTAAATATTGTTTAATACTGTTTATTACAGAGCATTTACTTAAATATTTGTATCTATTGTATAAACATAAAATGTCTTAATATATATATATATATATATATATATATATATATACACACATGAAAACACACACACACACATATATATATTTTAAAGTATATATATATTTAAAGTATATATATTTAAAGTATATATATTTAAAGTAGAAAATAACGTTTCATTCCCGTGTCTGATGGTATATAAAACATATCCGTATTTATAAAATGACTGGTAAAAAAATTACCGAATTAGCATACATAGAGTTTTTCTTCTTTTTTTTTTTTTTTTTTTTTTTTGTAAGTGCAGACATTTTTTTTTAATCATTCCACCTCAAGCAAGGCAATAAAAACAATAAAATACAAGTCTCTTTTTAAATATCAACTCACCCCAAGTGAGGCAATAACGTCACTAAGACGTAAGGTTCTACAGAAGGATATTGAGAATTCTATGGAAGTAGAGATTAAACAATGAGGAAGTTTTGAAAATTGCAACGTAAAGAACACTTTTAATCAAAATCAGGTAAAAGAGCTGAAATCGCTTGGATCCATACTGAAGAAGGAAAGCATGGAAAACTAAATCCTCACGAGGCCTATTGAGGGCAAGAGATATAGAGGAAAGCAGCGAGCCACTTGACTGACGAGCGTATGCTAAGGGATGGTAGAACGGGGAATTAGGGGGCGGGGGCGTTATCAAACGGTGGAAACTGCTAAGAGACACACAAAATAGAATGATTGTCTGTGTTCTGGAGGGACGTGGCAAATGAAAGATGAAAAAAGAAGACGATAAAAGAAAAAAGAAGAAAAAGATGAAGAAGAAAAAGAAATAGAAAAAAAAACAAAGAAAAGAGAAAAAGAAAGTAGGTGAAAAAAAGAAGAAAAAGAAGAAAAAGTAAAAGAAAAAGAAAGAGACGGAAAGGAAGAAAAAGAAAAAGAAAAAGAAGAAAATAGAAAATGAAAAAAGAAAAAAGAAAAAAGAAGAAAAAGAAAAAGAAAGAAAGAAGAAAAAGTAAAAGAAAGAAAGAAGAAAAAGTAAAAGATGAAAAAGAAAAAATAGAAAATAGCAGATAAAGAAAAGAGAAAAAGAAAAGAAGAAAAAGAAAAAAGAGAAAGAACAAGAAAAAGAAAAAAGAAAAGGAAGAAAAAGAAGAAAACGAAAAAAGAAAGAAAGAAAGAAAGAAGAAGAAGAAGAAGAAGAAGAAGAAGAAGAAGAAGAAAGCAAAAAGCTGGAAGATGAAAGTCACTGAAGCCGGCATATCAGGTCACGATAAATAACAATACGGCAGATTCTTCTTTGAATCTTTATATACATATCACACGCACCAGATCAGATTTGGCAACTATACTGATTAATCTACTTCTGTTCAAAATAGCAGAGAGGTGTGCAAACCGACTGATAGGGAGCCCATCTACAACTAATGAGGAGAAAAAAATAATAAAAATTTCAGAGTTTAGGCGGAGACGTTAGAAGTGTTGATTTAAACTAGAATTCAAAAGGAACCGGAAAATCAATTCTAAACAGGAAACAAGAGATAAACCTCTACTTCTGTCCAAAAGACAGGGGAGGAGTGTGAACTGGATGACAGGTGAATCCATCTATTCGTTGTAAGTGAAGGAAAGTGAGAAAATATTGACGAGTAAAAGAGAAAAAAAAAACGGAATCAAGAAGACAGAAGATGAAGATGGTGTTGCATTTACATTATCGAAGGTTGTAGCTGACAGTACCAATTACAGATGGCAGTGAAAGTTGGACAAGGTTGAAAGAAAAACTAAACGCAGCAGAAATATGGTTCTACAGAAGGATACTGAGAATTCCATGGACGGCGTGAATAAACAAAAAGGAAGTCTTAAAGAAAATGGCAACGGAAAGAACACTTTTAATCAAAATCAGGAAAAAACAACAGAAATTGCTTGGATCAATGGATGGCGGAAATAGTCCCGGGGACCTTATCAGAGGGAGAAAACTGCTAAGAGGCACACGAAATAGAATGTTGTGGAGAGCCATGATTCGTCTATGTTCTGAAGGGCCGTCCACATAGAAGAAGAAGAAGAAGAAGAAGAAGAGAAGAAGAAAGGGTGGAAAGCAAGAAGCTGGAAAGGATTTCCACAAATGAAAACGATTGAAGCCAACATGGCAGGACTAGACCAATAACATGACTGGATGACAGGTGAACCTAACTGAGAAAATGTTGACGAGTAAAAGAGAAAAAAAAACAGAATGAAGAAGACAGTCGATGAAGATGGTGTTGCATTTACATTTTTGAAGGTTGTAGTTGACAGTACCAATCACAGATGGCAGTGAATGTTGGACAAGATTGAAGGAAAAACTAGATGCAGCAGAAATGTAGACAGGGCGGTAGAAGAAAGCGAGAAAAAAGGACTAACTATCGACTGCAAGAAGACAAATGGTAGGATCATTAGCAAGAGGAAAAGCCCAAGATGTGAGTTACGAACTGAAGATGTCAACATCAATGTAGTACGGAAGTTCATATATCTGGGGAGCGTTTTAAGAGAGGACGGATAATCCGGCACCGAGATCCGAACACAAGCATTGGGCCAGCGAAAGAAGCATTCCAAAAGACCAACTGAAATTGCTTGGAGCAATAGACGGTCAAAGAGAGGCGGGGACCTTATCAGAGGGAGAAAACTGCTAAGAGGCACAGGAAATAGAATGTTGTGGAGAGCCATGATTCGCCTATGTTCTGAAGACCAATAACATAACTGGATGGCAGGTGAACCTACGGACTCATTGTAAGTGAAGGAAACTAGAAAATAGTGACGATTAAAAAAGAAAAAAAAACAGCAATCAAGAAGACAGAAGATGGTGTTGTATTTACATTTTTGAAGATTGTTGTTCAGTATCAATCGCAGATGGCAGTGAATTTTGGACAAGCTTAAGGGAAGAACTAGCCGCAGTAGAAATGTGGTTCTACAGAAGGATACTGAGAATTCCAGGGAGGGGGGCGATTAAGCAACGAGGAAGTCTTAAAGAAAAACGTAACGGAATGAACATTCACGAAATCAGAATGTTGTGGAGAGCCATGATTCGCCTATGTTCTGAAGGGGCGTGCACATTGAAGCAGAAGAAGAAGAAGAAGAAGAAGAAGAAGAAGAAGAAGAAGAAGAAAGGGTGGATGGTAATCAAGAAGCTGAAAGGGATTTCCACGGATGAAATCGATTGAAGCCGACATGCCAGGTCAAGACCAATAACATGACAGAAACTTATTCTTTTGCTAAGAATCTTTACATATATATCAAAAGCACCAGATCAAATTTGGCAACAATATTGATTTACTAAGCGTAGTTTAGATATGGCACAAGGCTGAAAGTAAGCAGCGCCCAGTTAGGATCAAACTAACGAATCAGTCGTCATTGATCTAGAGCAGTAGTTCACAATATTCATTTTGGATCGTTTTTAACCTTAATTTTTTTATAGACCCCCATAAACATTCAATAAAAATTCACTTATTTTTTTCTAATAGATAAATTTAGGTATTGTATTCTAGAAATAGGCACGTTGGGATTGTAGTGATGGATTCATACCATTCTAAAGAGTTTTTACGCGAAAGTGAATGCAATATTCTGTAAATGTTACCAACATTGGCTGGTTGATGGCAATTTTATTAGCGTGACTCATAGAATAGGAGGCACGGTGAAGTAATGGATAGCGACTCGGAGTGAGGAATCGGAGAGCCGACTTCGAATTCCAGTCGAATCCATTACATTCACTTACGTGCTAATGTTATGAATCCTCTTCTTCTCCACCCCTCCGCCAGTTATGAATAAATAGCAGGACAGACCGGGTTCCATAACCTTGGATGGTAGAAAGAAAAAATCTGTCTCGTCAGTCTTGTATTGAAAGATACATGATCGCCTAAGCGTGTATCACGCATGGCACATAACAGATTGACCAATGGGAAAGATATGAACCCTCTTCTAACAGCTATGGGTAAATAGCAAGAGAGATTGGGTTCTATAGCGTTGGATGGTAGCTGGTCTACTGCAGAAAGAAATGGCAACTTACTGCGGGGAAAAAATCTGCCTCGTCAGTCGTTTATTGAAAGATACATGATCGCCTAAGCATGTATCACGGATTGCTCATGACTGCCTGATTATAGAAATTGTTATGGTCCAAGTTCCTTGTACGACGGTGATGGTCCAAGGTTAGAACCAATGAAAGAATAACACGAACACAGGTATGGAATACAAAGATGTATTACAACAGAAATATAATACAAAGAAGTAGAAGTATTAGTAATGACTATCAGATTTGGTTAGAGTGAACTATGTTGTCTCCACAAGTATCACTATTCCAATGTCCTTACAATATGCTCTCAATTATCTCTCCTCGTCTTACAATCTCTCCTCTGATACCTCTTGAGAGGCGCAGTATTTATAATGTCAAGAATAGTCCATTAGTATTAAGGGTAAGTTCCCATAACAGAAATAGTAAATGTATATGCTTTATTTTGAAGTAAAACTAATTGAATGAAAATTAGCTCTTATTTAACTACTAAATTTTATGGAACGTTTATGTACGCTAGTAAAATAATAAATAATTATAAATAATAAACCAATTTAAAATGTGTTAGTAATTAATAAATTAAAAAAGTGCAGATTCTTTCAATGAGATCACTATGGTTGATGTTGCTGAAGAGGTTAATAGTTTTTCCTTTTTAACAGGGAAGAATAAATTCATTGCATTTCTTACTCTTGAGCACCCAACATACAGCTAATACTAATAAATAAATTTAGGAATTGTATTATAGAAATAGTAAATGTATATGCTTTATTTTGTAGTAAAACTAATTGAATCAAAATAAACTTGTATTTAACAACTAAGTTCTATGGAACGTTTATGTACGCTAGTAAAATAACTCATAATAAACCATTTTAAAATATGTGAGTAATTTTTAGTTTAAAAAAAGTGCAGACTTATTCAATGAGATCACTATGTTGCTGAAGACGTTAATAATTTCTTTTTCCTTTTTAACAGGAAAGAATAAATTCATAGCATTTCTCACTCTTGAATAAATATTCTATTCATACGAAACTTTCGTAAAAGTCTTGTTTGCATGAAATAAGCCATTGAAGTGTTGATATACCGTAAAACAAACATGACCAAACGAAATAAAACATAATACAATCTCTACGCTTATGCCCAAAGAATGTTTCAAGATACTTAATACGGCACATACAATTCAACCTCTTTAATCCGGCACCCTCGGGACCAGGTTACTGCTGCACCACAGAACATGCCGAGTGGCAAAAATCACCCCTTAAATCTATGGTTCCCAACCATTTTTTTTTTACTCGTAGACGCCTTTAACGCTTAATTTCTGACGGACCTTCATAACCATTCGATGAAATAAAGACCTTATTTTAATTGTTACTAATAAATAGGTTTAAGAATTGTATTATAGAAACAGTAAATGTACAGGGTGGCCCAAAAAGACGGGAAGTTTTGAAGCGCGTATTGCCAGACATGAACAAGTGGCAATACTGCGAGACATTAACTTTGAGCAAGTAAATATTTCGCCATTTTGAATTCAAGATGAAATTCACAGTATCCCAGCTGAGATGTTGCAGTAGTCAATGAGGAATATCAACAGCAGATTTCAAGAATGCATTCGTACAGTAGGACGCCATCTACAGGACGTAATTTTTAAAATAATGAAAATTCCATCATTGTTTCTTAAATGGCATGTTTTAAGGTTTCAATTACCATGAATAAAATATTTTTCTTCCATCACTCTTGGTTTTATTGGATTGTTAAAAAGTTCCCATTTTTTGGGGTCACCCTATATATGCTTTATTTTTTAAGTAAAACTAATTGAATGAAAATAAGCTTGTATTTAACAACTAAATTCTATGGAACGTTTATGTACACTAGTAAAATAACTCATAATAAACCATTTTAAAATTACCAGCAATAAAAATCTTGTCGGCATTAAATAAACTATTGAGATGTTCATATACCGTAAAACAAAATAAACACATCTGATCTCAAAACTGATTTCTTACAAAGAATACATATTCTATTCATATCAACCAATCATGAAAATCTTGTCAGCATTAAATAACCCATTGAAGTGTTGATATGCCGTAAAACAAAATTGACCAAACCAAATAAAATATAATGCAATCTCTACGGCACATACAATTCAACCTCTTTAATCCGGCACCCTCGGACCAGGTCACTGCTGGATCACAGAACATGCCGGATGACAGAAATAACCCCTTAAATCTATGGTTC